GACTCCTAGCTGATCATGGTCGTGAGCTATTAATTAATTATTATTAATGGCATTTTCATTAATTAACTCATATCTCCGTCAAAAAGGCGCATGGGCCCCAACGAACTTGGGGTTTTTCACTGGTGACTATTCCCTACATGATGAAGTTGGTGGAAATAAAACAATAAATTTATGAGAAAGATATATCGCGCGTTCAATTGTTCTTAATGTGATAATCACATTGCAAATCAAAGGATAGAAGGAAATCTAAGATCATAGCGTAGGAAAAAAAACACTGAGCTTCAATTAAAGGTCACAGTCAAAATTTTGTTGAGCCCCACACTGGTTGCCACACACAGTTAATTGAGTGCTTATGGGGTCAAGCAAAAACCAAAATATTAAGAACAATGCGTGGCTTAACATTATTAGATAGCCATTTAAACGAGTTCTGGTACCGCTCGATCCATAAGGACATGTTTCTCGCAATTCTAACGGATATTCGACAATTTTGTATGTAATTTTTTTATTGCTATTGTGTTTTGTTTTCTTTTTTTTGATTTTCTGGTTTCGTAATGTTCTTTTTCGTTTTTTTTCGATTAAAACATTGAACTATATTTTTTACTCGATCTTTTGCTATTAGGAGAACACCAAATCGATATATGGGGAACACCAGCTATAATGTTACTACGGAGAACACCATAGCTGTATGGGGAACACTAGCTGTAATGTTATCGTAGTATTTATAGCGGTAGTGGGGGAACACCATAACCATATGGGGAACACCAGCTGTACTATCACAAGGTATTTGGGCGAACACATACTAAACGAATATCAAGGTGTAGTGAGGACGATGAACAGGATAAAAAATAGAGAGAGGACTAAGATGATGGTAAATTTTAAAAGTAAGAGAGGTCACTGTTAGAGAAAATTCAAACATTGAGAATAATCATTTTGTTATGAAGATGAATATTGCAGAAGTAGTTTTTTCTGATTTTTGGTTTATAGTTATCAATATTTTCGCATAAAGAGCTACGGTGAGCTATCCACTCTCAAGAAAAACACACTTCAAGTATGCCAAACTTGTATTGGAGCATGGTCAGAACACACTTCGTCCGTGATGAAGTGTGTTCGTTATTATATATTTAAAGTATATTCTTTTTGAGTCGATCTTCTTTACTGCACTTTACCATTTTTAGATTATAAACCGCTAAAACGATGTTTCATGCATGCAACCGTTTTTATTGGTGGAAAAATACACTAACAGGGTTCATTTCTTTTTGTTGATGTTATTGTCAGTTTTTTATAGCTGACTCATCTTTCAGTTTTTGATTTATTTATGAATCAGAAGAAAGAAAGATTTATTGTCTCGAGCGGACTAAATGAAGACAAGAAGCTGATACAAGAACTTGGTGTGATAGCAGCTTTTTACTCCTCTCTTCTTCACAGAGAAGACATTCCACATTTTCCTTGTGCTGCTGTAGTGTGAATAAAATCGGCGTTTCTTGCGTCTATGCTGATTGGTTAATAACCTTTGTGTGATGAGAGTTGTGTAAGAAACAGAGCTAAACAAAGAAAGATAGAAAATTCTCTTCATTTATTGCCTTCTCCAATTGCTGAGTAGACGTCTCTCCGAGCCAGTGTTTTTAATAGGAATTTTAAGCAAAGTGGGTTTCCACAGTTTACCACTGCATTTTCCATGTTTTCCCTGCTAAAAACAAAGTGGAAACCCATTTTGCTCAAGCGAGACCCACTAATCATTAAAAACACTGCTCCGATCGACGGACTTTAGAAGGGAGATTTATTATCCAGTAACCAAACTTAGTTTCAGAAGAGACGAGGCATGGCTGTAAAGCGGGTTAAAATTTCAGAGTAAAGATGAATACTCACTTTTACTCTCAATAATTTGGTCTTTTCAGATAATATTGCCAACAACACATGGCTGCAATGGAATTTGATGAAGTTTATGAAGAGAATCGAGGAGTTCTAGTATGATATGTTTCTTTTTATTTTTCTATAAGTGATCATCTGTATTTACAGCTATTTATTTTCAGAATCCCGGCCGTCTTAAATTACAATCAAATTCAATTGTATTCAAAAATTTACGAACTGGAAAAGTAGAAACGTTGGGTAAAGACGATATTGAGAATGTAAAATGGATGAAACGTTCACGTGGTTATGGTTTAAAATTTACAACAAAAAGTGAAACGGTATTTCGTTACGATGGATTTAAAGATACGGTAATTAATCTGAAATTGAATTAAGTAGACAAAAAAATTGTATTAGATATTACTATTATAGGATTTAGAACGTTTGAAAGAATTTTTAACAACTAATTTTGGTAAAAACATTGAGATGCAAAAATTATCAACAAATGGTTGGAATTGGGGAAAGGGAAATTTTAGCGGTATATTATATATTTTTAACTCTTTAAGATATGTAGGATGAGTTTGTCTGTCTATTGTAGCTGGTAATTTGTCATTCGACGTTGATAATAAAACAGGATTTGAAGTACCATTGAAAAATGTTTCGAATGCAAGCAAAGGAAAAAATGAAGTTACATTACAGTTTCATCAAGCTGATGATGCCAAAGTGTCATTGATGGAAATTCGTTTTTTTATTCCACAATCAGAAACAGAAAATGATTCAGTTGAAGTTAGTAATATCTACGATCATGTTATTTAATAGATAGCTTGACGATAGTAGAAATACAATACTGCAATAATGAGGCGTTTATTGTTTGTCCTAAATCTGATCTTAAAAAGCTATTTTGTAATATTTTACAGTGTGTTTGTCTGATACAAATGACGAGCAATTGTAAAGATAAGCCTTCAGTTGGGACTAGTTACTTATACAAATGTTTTTCAGGAATTTCATCAAAATGTCATGAAAGGCGCTGCAGTTATTACGGCGAAAGGCGATGCAATATGCAGTTTGTCAAATATCAATTGTCTTGTGCCACGGTAGGATAAAAAAGAATAACTTCACCACTTTATATTTTAAAACGAATATATTTTCTTTTAGCGGTCGGCATGAATTACGTTTTTATCCCGGATTTGTTGATTTACGTGGTAAATCGTATGATTATAAAATTCCATACAATCAAATTACACGCGGCTTTTTGCTACCACATAAAGATAATCGACAGATGTTTTTTGTTGTGCGTATACATTTTAAAGTTATAAATCTTGTATTTAATATTTTATTCCTTTTAGCTAAGTCTTGATCCTCCTGTAAAACACGGGCAAACTCGTTATCAATATGTTATATTCGCGTTTTATAAAGAAGAAGAAACAACCGTTGAATTATCTTTAACACCGTAAGATTAAATTTTTAAAATAAAAATAGTATTTTAAAATAGCTATTATTTGTTTAGTGAAGTAATTCAAGAAAAATATGGTAATAATCTTCAAAAAAAAATGTCAGGATCATATCATGATATTGTATCAAGGTTATTTCGAGCTATTACCGAACAGCGCATTACTGTTCCAGGTTCCTTTAGCAGGTAATCAAAAGTTTGAGAAACCAGTTAACATGTTTGTAACCGTTCTATAATTTTTGTTTTAGTAAAAATGGTGCTAAATGTGTCAGTTGTGCGTATAAAGCATCAGCTGGTCTACTTTATCCACTAGAACGTGGATTTATTTATATTCATAAACCACCATTGTATATGCATCATGATGATATAGCATCCGTTAGTTTTAATCGATCAAATGCTGTTACTGGACGAACATTCGATTTTGAAATTACTATGAATAATAGTGGAATATCCCATGTATTTAGCAATATTGAGAAGTAAAGTTTAGAAAATATATCTACAAGAGAAATATTAAAAAACATTTTCTTTTTCTTCTACTTTTAGAGAAGAATATAAACATATGTCAGATTTTCTTGTTTCAAAAGATTTGAAAATACACAGTGCTGGGAAAGATTGGGTACGTATGTTAGCTTAAAAATACTTCCATTTTAAAATTATTTTTCTTCTATTCAGGATAAAAAGGGAGGTTTTGGTGTTGATAAAGTTAAAGATCATGATGCATATTTAAATTATGTAAGTTTTATGACTATTATAATTTTATACGGTTTTATTTTCCTAAATTATGCTTTTTAGGTCAAAAGTGAAGGACAAGAACGAGAAGATGACGACGATGAAAGTGATGATGATGAAGAAGAAGAAGATGAGGTGAGAAAGAAGAAAAAAAAATATTCTGATGGTACTAAAGTTTCGACTTTCAAATAATTAAAGAAATTTTTCATATTTAGGATTTTAATGCAGCAAGCGGTGGTGATGATGATGATGATTTAGAGTAAGTAAATGAATTTTTTCTATAGAAGCTCGATGCATTAGTTATGTGCTTCTTCAAAACAAGTTGAACATGTTCTACTATACTGTTGCACTGAAAAACAAAGTTAAATCTATTTGAATAATAAACAAAAGAGACTTCTAGAAGACAATCTTAACGATATTTTCTTTTTAATTAAATATGTTTCATAAGACAAATAGAATTTTAAAATACTTTCTATTATTTCTCCTTTAGATATGATTCAAATGCGTCAATAAAAAGTTCGGACGAGGAGGATCCTGACAGTAGTAAAAAAGGTGATGAAAATGGGAAAAAATCGTCTGACACAACAGTGAAAAAGAAGAAGTCATCACCAGTTGCCACATCAAAAGATGTAGGGAAAAAAAGAGTAAACGATAAACCATCAACATCGTCAGCAGTACCGGAAAAGAAGAAGAAAAAAGAGAAATCGAAAGAATGTAAGATTGTTTTGTACTTTATATTGAGTAGTGAGAGGAAAATAACCCCTTTCTTTACACTTAAATCCTTATACAAGAATGTTTTAATCTACTTTGTACTCTTACTAATTTGTACTGGGTGCAGGAAAGTCATTAAAAGTGTCTCTTGTTACAATATGAGGATATCAGTTAATGTAGAAAAACACGATATTTTCTAACCCTTACAAAGAAATATGAGGAATATATTATATTAATCGGATGTTTTTTCTCTTTATTTTATAGGATGAAATATAGAAAGAAATCTGGAACTTTATTTTTTGCGCACTGTTCTTGTTATTTTTGTATGTAAAAATTGTATGTTGTGGTTTTTTTTTGTACATGCTAGTCTCATGAAAAATAAACTTAATAAAAAAGAAAAATTTTAAGGGTTCTGTATAACACATGTGATGTACTTATTTGCATTACTTTAAATGGAATGCATCTATTAGACTAGATAGATTTCAGTTTCCCGTTGCAATATTTCAAGTAAAAAATGTATTAAGCATTCGTTCAAATCTATTAATTTAAATAGCACAGTGAAATAGAAGAGATAGTTCAAAGATTACAAATATAATCGATATTTAAATGATTTATTAAAATTGTGCACAGTACATGAATATTTTTATTTACATTTCTGAGAAAACAATCTTCTACAATTAATAACTAATAAGGGTTCAGTCTCGATTCGTCGACAAATTAAAGCCAATTAAGAGATTTTACTGTTTCGTCGACACTTTAAAATTCCTATTTGGTTGAGAAAATTTTATTCCTATTTTGTCGACAATTTTTTTATCCTAAAACGTCGACCAAAGCTGGCAGTGTATAAAAGTAATTCTCTAAACGTCGACACAATTTTCTTCTAGTAGAATTTATAAACTGAACAGTACACTGAGTGACTTGGCCATATGGGCTATAATAACTATAGTGAATCTTCTTCGACTTTGCATATCATCGACTATAAAGTACTGAAACGAGTTAAAATTAATACGTAATATAATAAAATGTACTCAGTTATCGAAACACAGAAAGGAAAACCCTGTTTACTATTTAATGGCTATCGGTATTTGAACGATAGAATCCGTAATCATAATGTCTATTGGCGTTGTGAGAATGTGATCCAATTGCTATGGTCGTGCTACACAAGAAGACAATGTTGCTCCAATTCTTACAGTACCACACAATCCCGAACCAGATGAAAAATGTAATGCCTGTAAAGAATTTCGTACAAAACTAAAACGTCGAATACGCTACGAACCATTGTCTGTAAGGATGGTATTTGGTAAAAAACATAGAAAAATACCAATAACAGATGAACCAACAATAACTCTGTAAAGTTTTCTGTGAACTATGCTACTATTTTTCTACTCATGTGTATGCATAAGGTTAATTACATAAGAAAAAGTGTTGCCAATTAAGAAATTGTAGGTAGCGTTTGATTCAGATGTGTCGGCTTTTCAGGCTTTTCAAAAATAAACTGTCGACAAATCGGGATTAAAAAGTGTGTCGATCGTTTCGTAAAAAAACAGTATCGACAGTTAAAGACAATTAAGGGCCTGTCGACGAATCGGGAATACACCACTAATAAGTGATAGGAAGTTCTATATTAATTTTTGTTTTTGATATAGCATTGCAATGGAACATCATAGGGAGTTGATCCTTTTTTTTGTTAGGAAAGAGCAATGTGTCTAGTACAAAAATATATAAAAATCTTATAAGAACTATAAGGGAGAATTGGAGCAACATTGTCTTCTTGTGTAGCACGACCATAGCAATTGGATCACATTCTCACAACGCCAATAGACATTATGATTACGGATTCTCTATTCCAAATAATATCTTTTTGTAGAAGACTGAATAAACTTTCTTTTTTATGCAAAATATACACCTTCTGACTACTCTCTCGAAGTAAAATTTATTTCTTCGACTCTGATCGTCAGTAATGAAAAATCGACGGTGCCATTGGAATATTCAGAAAAGCGTTCGTTCATTCCAACCATTATAAACATTTGCTTTTGTGTAGTAACAGTACTTTATCCTTACATTATAAAAAGATTGGAACACAATTTTCTGGTGTCTTTAGTTCTAACATTTTTATAGTTGTTGAGAAACATGTTTATATATTTTTGTACTGGACACTTTGCTCTTTCTAACAAAACAATAAAAGATTAACTCTCTACGATGTCCCATTGCAGTGCTATATCAAAAATAAAATTAATCTAGTACTTCTACATCATCCGTTACATTCGCAACAAAATCCAAATGAAAGAAAGTCATCTATTGAGATATGACTAATACATCTAACCGTCTGAACACCAGCTATACTGAATAGAAACATGAACATCATCTGGTAGAATAGGAGAAACGACATAAACAACGGTATTCACAAATTGCTAACATAACTCCATATTTGTTCTTGTTTTTGATTACTGAATATTTTTATAGAAAAAACGCCTTGGCAGCTCTTATCTAATTATCTCATTAAGTAGTTTTACAGTATATGACGGAGATACGCGAGAGATAGCCTCGTTAAGGCGGATCGAAATGCGATGTGTTCCAGAAAATTTTTGACGAAACGAGACGGAACGAAGTTCTTACGAGGAAGAACGTCGAAAACCCTCGTCCCACACAATCTCCGGTATGTGACAATTTTTTAACGTATTATCTGAATTTCTTCATCTTTGAATTTGTGTAAACAACAGTTTACTTAAAAAGCCGTCGTGTGAAATGACTAAAATTTTTCTGCTCTTGCATTTATTCTTTAGAATTCTCTACTTGCTTTTATCGTTGCCTTTGATTTCACACCATCGCCGCATTTGAGGTACCAATCGATGGTTTCTTTAATTTAGTTTTAATTATAGAAAGTTTTTTACAAATTTATCAACAATATGATCTGCACGAAAACTTCTTGAAAGTGAACTTCGTATTGTATTTACCGTTGTAACCTAGATTTGACGAATAATTTTCTAGCGTCTTTATGTTTTAGAATTTTAGATAAAATCAGTAAGGCATAATATGGACTGTACTTGCAGACTGTGTGTGTTTTTCAAACATCTCTTACAAAATAAAAGTAACGATTTCTACGTTTTTTCATTCCAGAACAGCAACTGAATTTCATAGGTCTGATTTTTCTTTTGTAGGACTCTTGCCTAAAACTAGAGCGTTTTCGAGTATGCGTGATTGTACTCTTAATATGATTCCATTACCAAGCCTCTATGTGTTCGCATCTCGCATTTAGAAAATACACATAACACAAAGTAGTGTCAGATAAAAGATCCTCTCTAATGGGTGGTCTTGATTAAAATGTCGGTCTTTTAAAGACTTTTTTCTTAAATTAAGCTTGATGAAAAAATTTCGTTTTGATGCCCAAAGTAGAGAATTTTGTCTAGATTTCATTCATATCCTGTTTCAAAATTACGCATCCATTGTTCTTTTGTGATAGTTAAAATACTGGAAGCTCCGAAAATCTCAAGTGTGCACCCCTTCATTGAAAAAGAAACGCGTTTTATTTTAAGTGCCACTAAAAACCTTTTGTATACGCTATTCAAACACAGTATGAAAAACTATAATAAATGCTTAATTTTTTAGACACGAAATTAAATATTTTGAGAAACGTTTAGGACCGTAAAAATGGGTTACAATAATTACCTCATTATTTGTGTTTATGCGCTCTTTCATAACTAAAACTAAGTTTTGGAACTGGACTTGACTGGACAAAAACTAATTTTCAAAAGTTTCTTGTTATGCACTTGAGCAACTAAGCTTTTTTGTGGATTCCAGTATTTTTACTGTCACAAAAGAACGATGCATACGTAATTTTAAAACAGGATATGAATGAAATCTAGACAAAATTCTGGAGTCTTCCAACTGAGACCGCTTTTTATCAAAAAAGTGGTCTAAATTAGAAAGTCTTTACTAACATCAACAAAGATCAGAGGGCGGCAAGTCAAGTGAGAGTGAGGGCGAAAAATAGTGGTCTCAGTTAAGAAGTAGTCAAAATTCTCTATCTTTTGGCATTAAAGCAAAATTTTTTCATCAAGAAAAAAAGTCTTTGAAAAACCGGCAGTTTAATTTGGATCATCCGTTACTGCTTTAGTCAGTGCTATTTGTCTACATAAGATAAAGCATCTTAACACAAATAGATTCATAGCGCTCGGATGTTTGTCTTGACAAATGCGCGATTACTGCAAAGGACTGATAATTTTTCATTTTTTTCCAAAACCATTCTGTTCTCTAGGATCAGACTGTAAACCTGGTGGTGATGGAGATCTGTCCAAGTGAAGATAAGGCCAACCGTACACGTTATATCTCGTTGGTATAATGCTGGATCTTGATGGATGGTGTCCGACTATCATCATTATGGGTTGACGAGGAAAAAGATTCGGCAAGCAATGCATTCTACATTCAACATATGTATGAAAATAAATACCTAACTGTGGATCGCAAACGTTAGATACTTCTTCACAATTCAATGTATTTGAGTCGTAGAAGTACATTTTGTTTGCTGATTTACATTCAATTTTTGGTGTTGATGGAGACGGTGAAAAACAGTGAGAGGTAGTGTTTGTCACGAAAGTCCCTAAATCTAGATCGACACCGTGTGTTTGCGATACAATTGGTCTATCTGATAGGACGTTAAGGCTCACCGGTTGCAAATTCAAACTCATTATTGGTTGAATATTATCTGATTCAGCTGAAAATATTGTTTGTCCAGCTGACTTAATTTCTAATCTTAATTTAAGATCTTGTAATTTCATACTAGAAGGTATTCGTATTGTGACTGGCATTGTGAATGGTATTTGAGTAAAATGACTTGGATATTCTCGAATAGGATGAGATTCTGGAGAACCTTTTTCATATAATCTGACAGTAACAGTACTAGCTGATTGAAATGTAATTTTCTCTTGTATACGAAAACCACCGGTTATTTGATAGTGATGTTTACTCGGTATTTGTACATAAATTAGGATATGATGTGCCATATCAGTAGCGTAGTGATTGACTGGAACTTTAAAAAAAAGGTATATACAATTATACTTTAATTAAAGGGTCTATAAACAGAACCAACCTAAAACAATAACAACGATGTGTTGGGAACCAATCAGTAATAAGAACATTGGAATAGACTGATCCATAATAATTATTATCAGAGAAATACTAGTGCGTGTCAACAGTACTTGAGTAGAAGCATTCTACTAATCTAATTATATCTCTCGAGGTACACAATAACTGTTCTTTTGAAACGTTCTTTGCTTGAATTTTGATTTAAAATACTGACAAACTTATTTCGTTTACTAATCTTGTTTTCTAAAAACAGTCATTTCAATTTTTGAACTCTGTCCACGATAACAAATGATATGAAACATACAATCCTATTTTAGAGATAACCATCCTATAACTTTTTCTCTAATGAGTTAAAACTTTTCTGAATTATAGAATTGCAAATTTTAGATCACAAACATGTTGACTGATTATAAAAACTTAATCTCAATAACTAAAAGTATCACGCCGAAATGACAACATGAAATTGATGGACTACTTTTCATCCTCGATACCTAATTATCATCGATCGATACCTTTTTATGCTCGATCAATCTAAAAAGTAATAACTGGAGATATGTTACTTTAAAATTTACCTGGATATATAAATTAAATCAGCTCATTTTACCGCAAAATGCGGAAACAACCAGTTGAATGCTAGCATTTTTCTTTGTACGCCCAACACAACTGACTTATCTCGATTAATCGATTATTATTATATTTGTACAGATTTTTCTGCTGTATAAGTACAGGAAAAAAAGAGATGATATATGACAGAGATAAAGAAAACAATAGAAAAGTGAATTAATAGAAAAGAATGTGGATGAAGCAGAGACATAAACATAACATAACAGAAAACATAAACCAAAATAGAAATGAGAGAGCAATGAACACAAAAAACATACATCGCATAAAAAATTCCAAATATTATTTTCTTATCATTCGTTTTTTGTTTATCTGACATAATTAATATCATCAATTTGTTTTAGACAAAAGTCATAGAAAAGAAGAAACAAATATTTTTTATTCATCTTTAACAACTGGAATTGTGACTGCCACAGGTAATGGTAATACTTTTGGATCAAAATCAGCGAAATAGGGATGTTGTAATGCTTGTTTGGCTGATACACGTCGAACAGGATCATAAACTAACATTTTCTAAAACAACAGTTAAAAAAGATCTTCATCGGCTGTGTTCATAGTGTGAACTCTCCCAGAAGCATACCAATAAAAGGTCCAATGCATCATCATCCATACGATCTCTTAATAATGTTACTAATTCATTATTTTTCCATCTTGGAAATGTACTTTTAAATTCTGGTAAACTAACAACGCCTGGCCATACCTCATCTGATGGTGTACCTAATGTCCTAAAACAGCAAATAATCAATGTTGTACGCTTTTGTTATGTGAAAAATTCGAAAATCTTAACTGTCAATCAAGTTTGCCTTCACTATAGTTCTCTCACTGACATTAAAACGGGAATGAACTCCTAAGAAAAGAGTTTTGCTCTTTCACAGTTAAGGAAAACAAAAGTGGTGTACCTGAATATCCGAAACAATTGATCGATTTCAGAATCGCCATGAAATAATGGACGTTTAGTATACATTTCAGCGAAGATGCAACCGATTGACCAAACATCAACTAGAAATACAATTCAACACACAAGGAAACTGAATGCTGATTTCATGATCAACGGTAGATGTTATTACCTGGACATGAGTAACGTGCAGCACCTAATAAAACTTCAGGAGCACGATACCATAGTGTGACAACCTAAAAGAATGTACAGTATTTACGTTGTCCAAACTTTCATTGTAACTGATACAAAAATCGGTACCGATTGCGAATTTACTTGTTTGTGCTATGAGTGCATAGCGAAAATTTGTAATATGAAAAACTTTTTGTGTGAAAAGAACGATCCGTTTGTCAGTACGTTGATCGATCAATGCTCGAATTGATGACTCAAATTTTTATTCTAGATAGTAATGACGTATCTCATGTCCTCAAAATCTTAAGAAGTCATTAGTTCACGAAAAAGTTATAGGACTTTTACTAAAACCCTCAAGAAACGACAAAAACGCAGTGTGTGCTGAAAGTGCATTTTGCTATATGCACTGCGCGGTGTTGGAAACACCGTTAATATACTATTTCTTATCTATCTTTATTATGACGTTTATTAAAAACTCGTCTACTCAGCAATGAACTACTGGTAAAATGTATAAGTAAACATCCTAACTGCCGATTTAGAATAACAGTTCGGACAACACTGAATCAGATTTTAAAAGTGTAATCATGTTTCAGCAACACGGTCTAATTATCATCAGTTTCAATGACTGTCAAGAACAAATTATTCTATAGATTTTTGACATAGTCAAAACAAGAACATTGTTCTCTATTAAAACGCTTCAGAAATGACTCCCATATCTCCCGAGCCTTAAAGCTCAGATCCGAACTGCTACTTTCAATTTTAGATCATAATCAATCAGTCGTGAACTACGGATTTTCAGTTTAATGAAAGCATAACTTTTCATTTACTTCATGTGTATAAATTCTTAATGGAACACTAAATGCACGAGCTAATCCAAAATCAGCCAATTTAATGATTCCTTTCCCATCAACTAATAGATTTTGTGGTTTTAAGTCTCGGTGGATAATACGTCGACAATGGCAAAACAACAACGCATCAATTATCTGATGCATATAACTCTAAAAAAAGAAACGAAACAGACTCCTTTGTATACGTTAATTTTCTCATGCTTTTTGTTAGTTACTTTAATCAAATCAGAATCCATTTCTTCAGCACCGAGACAATCCATATACTTTTTCAAATCCATAGCTAAATATTCAAATATTAGATAAAGGCGTGCATCAGTTAATATAACATCACGTAATCTAAATTCAGAAAACAACAATTCGTCAGAAAATTTCCAGGAACTATCATAAGAACTTACTGTACAATATTTTGATGACGTAATTCTTTCAATATTGATATTTCACGAATAGCTGTTGCAGGAACACCATCATCTTCACCTTCCAACCTAATTTTTTTTAATGCATAGATTTGGTTTGTTGGAATATGACGGACTTTATAAACAATACCATACGTTCCTATCGAAGAAGGAAGCTGATCAAATGAGCACAGCTTAGTAGCAAATAATACAGATTTCGAAGTCTTATCACGTGCAAATAATGAAGTACAAATATTTACACTTTTCTCTGTTTTAAATGAGCATTAGCTTCATTTCACAGTTTCCCAGAGTTTAATTTTCACCATATATCTTATAGACTTCTACTAACCTTCTCCAACTTTACTTAATCGCATAAAATCATCAATGTTGAATTGTGGAGGCATAGAGACGTGTATTGTCCCAGACCTTGATCTACAAGGGAACATATAAAGAGATGATTCTAAAAACACTTAGGAAAGATCTCTTAACCAAACACGAATTTGTTACAAGCTAACAAATAAGATAAATGAGTTCTCAGAGTAATCGAAGGTATTAGTCTTTTCAAGCGTCTGAAGTAGCCATGGATAACAGTGTTCTAAGCTCAGAGGAAAGCACTGAAAACAGAAACAACAAGAGAGAAATATAGTAAGTTAGCCATCGGTTCTATGTACAGTGCCCGTCAATCAAACAGACAAAGAGAGACATTATTGTTGCAAGACAGAATGTTTATTTCGAACACCGGTTTTGTATTCTTACAACCCTGCTATTATTTTGTAACGTTATCAAAATAAAACTCAAAACAAAGTATAGAACTAGTCGTGAGAAAACGTACAAGCAAAGAATAGTGCGGGCTTCATATTGTCATACGGACAAGAAGTGTTAACAAAGCGATAAAATGGCTGCGACAGCTTGTTTGAGATTGGTAGATTTTTCCACAGATCTTATTATCTTCTTCACTTAGATCAGAGGTTTTGCAAAATTCTTACAGCAGAGTTCGACAATTAATAACCTTTTCTACAAAACAGCTTGAGTTACGTCCTACTGGCGTCATATAGATGTCGCTCTAGATTAAATCGTATTAAGATAGCCATCTATAAAAGACACTCCTCTTGCTGATCGATTTTGCTGAAGTCGTGTCTCTGCATTCGGTACAGAAAAACAATATAAACGAAAGAGAATCTTGGTCCCGAGACGCTTGTCAGTGTGGAAGTATCTACCAACGTGTGTTTTTTAAAATAATTTGATTCTCGCATTTTGATAGTTTCTTCTCAAAGCATTTTTCAAAGCTCCAAACACATAATGTAAGAAAAGTTAATGAAATAGAGTCTTTTGATAGTCTCAGAAAGAAGACGCATTCGTTTGTCGGCTATCCTCCGAAATCATTTGAAGAAACAGTATATTATGAAATTTTCTGCAGTAAATGCTCGAGAGTTTGTACTCTTTCGCTTTGATAAGATATTTTCAATTAATTATTTTCAAGCAAAGATTAACTCAAATTCTTTAATTGAATTTGAGAATTGAACTTTTGACTTCAAGTCATAAAAGTTTAAGATAGTTTATTCAATATTTTTTCAAGGTCACAACATATAATATCCAACTAAACTTTCAGATCTGTTAAGAAAAAATATAATTAAGAGCAAATGTTATTTTATTGGATCTAGTCGCCACCAAAAAAGATAATAAAAGAAAAAACACCAATCTCAAAAAAACCAGACAAATAAACGAAATACATAGAAATGAAGTCAAAAATATTTTAGCTTGTTTGAGACTGTTCTTGCCTCAGTTCATCTAATTCTTTATTCTGCATTCTGATAACAACAGCTACGGATGTACACGGTAAAATACCTAATTCGGTAATGACAGCACTGATAAATGTCGGTGGTGTCACATCGTAAGTCATGTTTAATACACCAAGATTAGCACTCCGTTGTACTGCTTCACATAACTGAACATGCGGTCTTATCAAATCATTTGGATCACCTCAAAAATACGAAAAATGCTTTATAGACGGACATATGTAAGGAGAATACTAAAAATATTCTTTACCTAATTCATTGTTAACAAAACTATCTGTTTGTACACGCTCACAAAATTTGTATGTTTCACAACACACTAACACGGGAACGTTGTGAGTCTTAGCAATTAATGATATTTGTGCTGTTCCCACTTGACTCATCACATACCCATTTCCCAGAAGGCCATGAGCACCCAATAAAACTTTACTGACCTAAAATAATTTACATCATTCTATCATTGAAACAAAATATCGTTCGCATAACTCACTTCAGATATAACAAACGGGACAGCACTAATTAAAACATATGTACATTTTACATTTAACGATAATAAACGACGTGCTGACTGTAATCCTAGAAAATAAAGTCTAAATTCTTGAATTGTAACTGCTAACAGTATGTAATGAGTCATTATTCATCACTCACCATGTTCTTGTGGTCGAGCATCGACAATAATAACACGAAAATCAATACCCTTATCGACAGCTTCTGCTAATATTCTCATAATTAAAGATGAACTAGTAATAAAAACGATTGTGAAAACACATAGGATCAAACACATATTCTACGTACTATCCAAATATAAGAATAACATCGTTATCGGCGATTTTTGTTATTGCATATGTACGCGCAATGGCTTCAGAAGGTAAATATATTTTTTCACGTACAAAACGACTTATAACATCAGTTAATACTTCTTTTGCATCGTGAGGAGAAATATCTCTGTCTAATTTTGTTATGTTTGCTTTTATGTAACGAATGGCACTACCCATACTAACGGCGTTTGGTCGGCATTTAGTCAAAAAACTAAACAGATATAAGGAAAAATATGAGAATGTAAGAATGTTCAATTAAATCAATTACTTAATACTCGTCTTTAGTTTCGCTTCTAAGTCACGTGGACAAGATTCACCACTTGGTGGCCCGTCATAATCCTCTAACATCTAAAAATAACAGCAAATGCTTCATTCTAATAACAAACATTCAGAAAAAAGTTCAGAATGTTACCTTTTGTAGCGCCACTAAAAATGACACACAACGAAGATTCGAACCAGTTATTTGACCACTGGCATACTGTAAACCCAATTTGATTATTGCAGGATGAATTATTCTTGATTCCCTAAAACAAAACCTTTTTAATGAATTTTTGCTTCAACGTCGCTATTTCTTATACGTACGGTGCTAATGTTAATAAATCAATGTTCTTTGAAAAGATTTTCAAATGTGCAAATAGGGCAACACGTTCTTCTATTTTGGCTAAATTCTTTTGTTGTTGTTGTTGTTGCTGTTGTTGTTGTTGTTGTTGTTGTTGTTGTTGAGTAGGAGTAACGATAGAACCAGTTCGTACAGATCTTGGTCGTTCACTGTATACTGACTCGCCAGCTTCTGATATTGGCCGAGTGTTTGCTGCAAAAAAATCAAGTTCACGTTTTACTCATTTCAAAAGTCAATAAAGTAGTAATTACCTGATAATATTGGCGTTAAATGATTCGTATTTGAAATGGTAGTGCTGGAAGTTGTGTTTTTATGTAATGAATCAGATGATATTTTCCTTCCAGCTGATGGTTGTTGCTCTGGCTTGTTTGGCTGTTTAGACTGTTTGGCAGCTCGTTGTGCGTCCAAGAAATACGTATACGTTACGTTAGAACTGAGCGCTCGATAAAGTTTTACGGTTTGGTTACAAACCCAAGGTATTCTGTCTACTTTGGTGTTTGAACTAGAAAAATCAAACAACTTACTTGTATAGCTCTTCTGTCAGCGCGTAGTTGTGCTTTTGTTGGTTGTGCTGACTGGGCTGCGTTGACATTTGCGAAACGATCAGCTAAACAGAAAAAACACAATGAATGTCGTAAAACAAAACTTGTTCTGCTTTATATATTTTTACAATCTTCAAAAATGCATACTTAATTCTGTGACATCGGAAGAGCCGGTTTCGGATGCCTTTCTTTCTGATTTTACAGTCGTTAACGGTTGTTGTTCCTGATTTGGTTTTGGTTTTGTATTTTGTTTTTTTGAGGGTTTTTGAATGGATGATGATACAGATGACATTGTTTGTTTTAATAATGCTGGTAGTGTATTATCTGGAGAAATTAAATCATGATCACTACTTGTAAATATTGAACTTATCGATAAAAAAGGAAAATATTTGCGCAATAAAAAATTGAGATTTCTATAGAATCTTTCTAAAATAGAGAACAGTTTTTAAACGCTTTTTTAATTACGTTTAACTGAGACTGGTCTAATTTGTAAACATCTCCAATTACATAATATCTAGATATTCAGATATTCAACTGTTTAGATATTCAGATGTTAAGATCTTCAGTTCTTCAGATATCTCGATGTACATATACCTAGATGTTAAGATCTTCAGGTATATTTCTATTTTCTTTTACGATGGCAAATATCACAGAGGAGCTCACTCTACTACTCGCACTATTGATTTAACTTTATATACTGATATGTGATTACACATAGCGTTTTCGAACCTGCCGTATCCACAAATGTCAGTATAATTTATATTAAGCAGAAACTTGACATCTATTCTGTCATTCAGTTGCGTGTTATTTAGTGAAAGAAAAAGTGAGAGTGCTGAAATTTCTGCAACACTCATTCTATACTTCAGTTTCTTCTCCAATCACGCAACGTATAGACTCTACGATAACTCTACGGCATAAGCATAGCCAGGCAAAACAAAGGCAATACATTGCATCAGTCTAGTTTTACGAAATCTGTTGATAACTGTTATGTGACTTATTCAAACTATATAAACATACATTAACAAATGATAAGAACAATAAGGGAAGAGGCTGTTGTATTGTAGCGAATAATAAGCACATTTAATCAACAAGGACAGGTCAATCGACGACAAAACGAACAACAATAAAATATTTCATCACCAATTTGTATTGCATCACATACCAACCTCCTCAGACAAAGTACACAATCTCGTTGAGGTTACTGGTATTTGCAATATCACTGTGAGTCTCATCGAACAATGGATTATAAGTGGAAATAGTTGAGATTTGAGGTAGAGATTCGCTTAATTTGACAGATATTGACGTTACTTCATTCATCATTTCAATCACATTGAATGATGTATCTTCGTTGTTCATTAAATGTGACGGTATTTCTAAAGCTAAATCTCTTGATGACTAAGTGTAAAAGAAAAGGATCGGCTGCTGAAAACTTCATGAAATATTTATTTATTGCTTGTGTACGTTCAATGTTTATCGATTCTTCATTAATTGGTAAGGTAGTAGTGGTACTGATGGCTGTTGTTGTGCTATTTTGGTCGTCGTTGTGAAAGACGGTGTTGTTTTTTTGTTTTGTCGATAGTATGTTGGCATCTGAAGCCGTTTTACTAGCAGACATCTTTCGATGATCGTTTAAAACTGAAACGTTTGACATTATGCATTATAAACATATCGAAGAATATTCCATATATTCATGTCAGTATAACTAGTCTGGTACATATCAGTATTATTCCACTAAAAAAATTTCATCTCTTATTCATCGCGAAACCCACCTTTGTTTCTATTTTTAATTTTTCCTCAAAATTGCATAATTTTACCACTAATTCGTTTGACTACTTTATCATATATCAGCAGCGGAGCAAATTAAACTGTTTTCTTTCTATCTGTTTTCTATTTAAGTAGGAGAAAAATTCAATCACCTATTAAAGTCAAACGAGATGCATATTCAGTACTTAACTAGATTTGTTACAATTATGATAACAAAACCAGCATGAAAAAACCTCGAAAGTATATCGTTTAAATCACCTCATAAAAACTTTACGTTCGAAAAATAATTATTGGCATGTCTGTAGATTCTACAATCCCCAAAACTAAGTTGCTGTATGTCTAGTTCTATGCTCTAAACCGTCCAAAAAGGTTCCAAAACATAAACATATAAAGAACTCCAGAAAAGAAAATGGATTTTGTCTAATTTTCTAAACAACAGCAAAAATTAACGTGTATTTTATTAGAAAAAATCAACAATAGAAAAGTGCTTGCATGTTGTTTAATAAATTCTTGAACACGCCCGATCAGATAACGAAAACAAAATTGAGAAAACTAAGAATGCTAAAGTTTGTAACTATAACAAAAAACAAACAACAACAATGATAATAACAGTAAAAAGAACTTTGCTATTTCTATTAGTAAAAATCTTTTCTAGAATACTGAATCATAGCAGAGAAAAGACTATTTTCGTTTTTTTCTTTCGATCCTCGGATGTTCTCCATAATTTCTGATTACGCTAGAAAATGGTTTATGCCAATTTACAAAAAGAAAGCACATATATTCTCATAGAAAATGTTAGTTCAATTCATTTTTAATTCTTCTTTTTAAACACTAGCTGGGACTGGAGCTTTATCAACAGCCATTTTCTCGTCGACAGTGATAACACCACAGTCAGCAATGATAACGTCAGGTTGTGGACGATCACCGGGACCAGTTTTGCCGTTTTCAATTTTGTGAACAACAGACATGCCTAAATAAACGAAAGAAAAGCGTTTGTTCGCATAAGATAAATTCTTTTCATAGAAAATACAGACCTTCCAAAATTTTTCCAAATACAACATGTTTATTATTAAGCCATTCAGTCTTTACTGTTGTGATGAAAAATTGAGATCCGTTTGTATCTTTACCTGAAAATTGAGAGAAACGAAGAATAACATGGTAAATTGAGTGATCAGCACAGAATTTGAGGACTCACCGGCATTTGCCATCGAAAGCCATCCGGCACCATAGTGTTGGAGTTTAAAGTTTTCATCAGGGAATTTTTCACCATATATACCTGAAAAGAACCAGTTAGAAACAATTGTTACTTTTCATAAAAGAGACAGAAATAAACAGTACATACTTTTTCCACCAGTGCCATCTCCTCGTGTGAAATCACCTCCTAAGAATAAACAAAGAGTATTTATTTCATCATCATATATGTGTCAGAACATATATTTGTATCAAAAGTATCTCATCTCAAAGCACAGACACCATTGATGAGTTTAAAATGACCTTTTCAAAGACTTGGGATTTATAAATCGTTATTTATAAACATCTTAATTTATAAATGGGTTTATAAACGATTTTCTACTGGAAAAATAGTCAGAAAATTTCAATTTAGTGTTTAGAGTTTTAAATGATTTATAAATCACCCATTTATAAACTCATCAGTGATATATACAAACAATAGAAAGATAATTTTTACCTTGAATCATAAAATTTTTAATAACTCGATGAAATTTTGAACCTTTGTAACCATAACCTACAATTTAAATTCATCTATTTTATAAAATTCAGTTTAAACGAGTCTTTTAATTACCCTTTGAACCATCAGCTAGCTGTGCAAAGTTTTCAGTTGTTTTTGGTACAACATCTCCAAATAGGCCTAAAAAACCAGAGTTATAATAGATTTAAAACATACATCCACAAGACAACAGTTACCAATAACAATTCGACCAGTTTTCTTTCCTCCAATTTCAATATCGAAATAAACTTTTTTTGTTACATAAAGCTACAATTGAAAGAAAATATAAAAATTGTTGAACATTAAAAAGCCAACAAAAAAGATCAAATTACTTCATCTTTATCATTGCTAGCTGCTGATATATTAGCAATAAAGTAAATGGCAAATACAATGGCTGCAAACAATATCGTTCTCATAATGATCTGAAATAAATAGGAACATCGAATATGAACAACGTTGTTCTTGATAAGTATAAAGATCCTCCTACTTAAGGAAACCAAGTTTTCCAATTAGAAAGGGATTTTAAAATTCACGCGCCAATATGTAGCTTGACATATCTTCTCTCAGAATCTGTATCAATTTTGGCTTTTTGTCATGTTTCTTAAGAATTTTGAGGTACTATGACAGAAGTTTTAAAAATGAAGGTTGTTGAGACTGACCATAGTACACGTTTCAGACTTGAAACTCGCCTGTAATGCCAAAAACAGTTTTGCATCAAAAAGTTTATAGAATAGCTTACTCATAAATAATAAACAAATAATTTCTGAAAGTTTAATTCTGATCAGTTGCATGGCATAGAAAAGTTTTTTTGAAGGAATCTACAAGGACGTCATAAAAAGTGAAAAGGCAATTAGATATAGTATATTTAGGTATGAAATAGAATATTTCGATCCGTTCTAAAAAATACAAAATATGCTCAATATTTATAATCTTGTTACCTTTCTGAATCTTGCACAAAAAGAGAATACACAGTACAGTCGAAACATTTATCTGAAGTATTTATTGGACATATTACCATCCATCGAGTATTTTAGAAAAAAAAGAGTAGGTGGTTAATAGGTGGGGAAATGCATCCTAGAAACATAGAACAGAACAAAATTTCTCATCGTACGTACGTTACAGCGATAATAATAACGATTAATCTTTAGTATAAGATGCGTTATTCGCTACAAACTGCAAACGTTAGCTGATTGATTTTAGGGGTGTAGCATAACCTGCGTGCTTGTTTTTTGTTTGTCATTTAGTGATTAGTGGAGAGGTATAAGCCAGTTTACAGCTAATTTCAGGGTTATTAATTAACAATTAAGTATAAGTTAAAAATAATTAGAATTATACATGTTTTATATGAGAAAAGAATGTGTCAAGTGTGTAAAAGTCATCAATGCAGTATAAGTAGAATACAAGTAGTCGACTATTAATGTGCTCCAACTTAGAAGGTGTTTATATGACAGTCACGATTGTCGAAAGAAAAATTATCGGATACCCATTTCGGTCATTATGAAGGGACATAAACTATGTCTGATTAACGTAGTATTGAGCGCCTCAACGGAAAGTGAGTCATCAACATAAATGCCACATAAACATTGAAAAAAATTTGCAACAGTGGTGGAATAAAACTAGCACTCTTAATGGATTATACAACTAAACACGATTTTGTAGTATTTTGACTATGGTATCACAGGGTTAAATTACGCTAGAGGAAAACGCTGGAAGAGGATCCCTACAATCAGCGTAAAATCTCACAAAATCAGGCTGATAGTAGCGCCATCCTCCAGCGTTTCTTCTCTAGCTTACCTTATCCGGGATGAAGCTGTGAACAGAGCAAGAAAAGGAGCTTTGTTTTTGTATTTCAACTTGTTCTCATTTTTACCTTTATTGCATGATATAGCATACAGTGTTTTTAATGAGAATTTTTTTTCAGGGTGGATTGATCTACACTGCTTTGAAACTGTCGTTGAACAACATCACTTTTTAGGCTAAAAGAACGAGTTGTTCTGTTTTCTTCTCCATATTAGCTGTAGTTTCAGTGGATCTGTGGACCTGTGAAGAAATCGCTCTGTTCGTTTAGAGCCAGAGTAAAAGAGAGAAAATAGAAAGCTCATTTCACTTTTTATGAAACGAAAAGACAACAATTTGGATTGTTTAAAAGCGATTTGTAACTTTTTTAATTTTAAGTGAAAGTAATCTATGTTATTCCAACTAATATAGATTTTCATTAAGCCTTTAAATTATTTCGAAAAATAAACATTACCGCGGGGCCCAGCGTGGTCAGTAACCTATGTTTTCATTCACTTTCGAGATTACTATCTATATCGAAAACGAATACCAATCCTGGAACTCTCAAAATCTGATACCACACCTGAACCACGAAAAATTAATAGGTCACTTAACCCCATTTTGGAGAGGATACTTTCTACTATCTATCCATTGAAGAAAATCAAAATATTTATATGGCAACTTTCAAATTACCAAGCTGGTTTTCCAAAGACCTTATCAAAAATCAGCATTTGCGAAGGATTTTGAAACATGCTCACATGCTCACATGCTCCCGTATTGGTTGCCAAACAGCGAAAACTAAATGTCTGTATCTTGTTTCTTCCAAACGATATTAAAAAAACAGTGATGTGGCTTGTCATTTGGGCTTTTAATAAGTTTTTTCCACAAAGAGCTCAAAAATGACATCGTCGATTCTTGAAACTCGTTTCTGTTTCGAAGAAAACTATTTATGTTTGAAAAGGAACATTTGATTTCTCTATCAATTCAAATTCATACCAGAAGGCAACAAATATGACCCGTAGGGGAGCTATCTAGTTCAGTTAAAATAAGCCCGATCTCTGCAGTTATCACATTCCGTGAGAAAAATTAAACTATTAAATAGTGCTGGTTTGCCCATCACGTTAATTACAACCTTACCGTATAATCTCCCTCCGCCAAAACAAAAGTCTACTGTCGAGTTTCTGACTTGAAAGACAAATAGAAAATCATGATCCTGTATCAATTTTAAGCAGTTGCGATTTTCAGGAAGTCGTTATGTATAAACGTCAGAGTTCCCAGATCCTCAGGTCAGAAATGCGGAATAAAAATCCCGAAATTCGGAAATTTTTCTCAGAATGCGGACGAAAAGCGCAAACACATTTTCATGGTCTAACTTCATCCGTTTTCACGCACAATTACAGAGTTGCCAGCTGGAGTGCCATAATCGATGCGATTTTCTGCCGTATTGGCATTGATTGTGGCGCCTGAGCTGGCAACTCTGCCGACACAGGGTCAAAAAAATGTTTTCTCTAGCACTTTGTGGTTTTATTCAATAAAACACAAGAGAAAAACAAACAGAAATGTAAGTCCCGATTTTAGTTGACACGTTGTTTTTTGACTGTATATTTTTGATTAGAATGAATAAGTTTAAGCAGATCTAGCGTTGATAAGAAATAATTATAAATTTCAGTGCATGATAACGATGAGTTTAAGCGAATTTTTAACTCAGCTGCAATCATTTCTGTCGACATATGATTTCTTTTATCGTTAAATAAATGTTTCATGGAAGAAAATGCACTTTCGACGTATGAATTACTGCACGGAATCGAAGATATAAACGAAACTAATTTGTGCATGTTTGGAGATGGTGTTGGTTTGACAACAGGATGAGAAAGAGAATCCTCAATAGATAGACACTCTTTTTTTAAATGCTATATGTAAACAGGGGAAAAACAGCAAAAACAGACAATTCTCAAAATGCGGACAAATAGCGGACAGCAGACAAATTGCGGAAAAAACTCCAAAATGCGGAATTTGTCCGCAAAATGCGGAATTTGTCCGCAAAATGCGGACCATCTGGGAAGTCTGGTGTAGAGCTCAAATGTGGGCGACTAAATAATGAAAATTTCTCAACTTTAGGTGCTTGTTTCTAGTAATAATCCACCTCGTAACTCCAGTGTCAACCAAATCTCTTAATAAAAATAGATGTTGTGAGGAAATAAGAAGAAAAAAATTGAAAAAGGATTAAGCCAGGCATATATAGGCGGCATCTCGTCGAAGAAACTGATTAATCAATTTATTCAACAAGGTAATGCTTGTCTTCACTCGCTCAGTCCCTTGACTTGATTAACTTGAATCTACGCAAGCGAATGCCCTTTGGTGAGTTTTAAATCGAAGACAATGCTCACGTCTGCCTTCGTTCGGTACTCGCTCGGTACCCGCCTAACTAAAGCATGTGGATTTTTTCTGTTTTCAAGTGTAAGGTTCGTAATCTAATATAAATATATAAAGCAAAAATCTTTAGAGGTCCAAACATATTTCTGAATTCAAAACAAAGCTCACACCTCCCTTCGGTCGGCGTTCGCAGCCAGTATAGATGAGAAACGCTGTGAACTTCTCTGATTCCAGTAGATATTTCAGTCATCTCTTTGAATATTTTCTCTCTTGTGTAAAAAAAAGGGCACAATGTAATATAAACCTAAAACGTTTTCTGGACACCCGCTGAAGATCCGAAGGGAGGCTACAAGTATTTCTGATCCATTCGCCATGATAGACTATCTATATTTTGTAAGTTTTATTATTCCTAGATGCCTTAAAGGCATTTTTTGTGTTATCAGAATGCACTCTTTTCTGGCGACATCTATCTCCCAACTACAGAACCGTTTGTTTGGTTTTTTTCTCTCTGCATTATTTTTTCAGTCATTTCTTTAAGTATTTTCTCGCTTGTGTAAAAAATAATTTTGTACTTTTCTATCTTGTGATTCGCTTATCCATAGAATATCTGACAGCCATTTTTCCGTATTTTGCGCACTGACACACAGACAGACAACCATTTTGTAAGATCCTAGACTAGGAAAGTCAAGGGAATTAAGCTTTTAGAGGAGCTTTATACTGTGTCCCAAGGAAAATGAGTTTCATTATTTTGACCACTTCACGGCCGAATCACTGCAATTTTAGCGTTTTGAGAATTAATGACAGCTAAGCCACAAGTTTCCAATAAAAAAAGACATTTTATTAAAAAGTTACTCGACGTTGAGTATAATTTAGACAAAGAAATGATGAGAAAAGAAAGTTTAGTGAGAATAATTCTTCGACTAATGATCTAAATTATGTTTTACCCTAGGAAATATGTCAGTGGGTACTTCTACAGAATAGTCACACCCTGGACTATACAGGTTGTCCCTTTTTTTACTGAACTTTTCTGATTGGGTGATAGAAAAATTTACGCCCTGGTGACTCAGAAACCCAGTTCAGTTCAGTTTCTCAGTAAAAAAAGGAACAACCACTATACAGTATGCGTATATTACAGAACAGGAAAAGAAAATGTGATTGGCTGATTTTAATATGTAATCATATAACTGAATATAAGATGTCAGAAAGAGAAGCGAGGTCGACAGACACTATCGAGAACACAGTGAAAAATTAACAGACAACAAGAAAC